AGTATCGTTGTCTCTGAATGAATTTCAAAACAAGTTCTTCAGCGATCACTGAACAAGCTCAGTGTATGATCGCTGGAACTGAAATTACAGATACAGAAATACATCGAAAAGGAAAAAAGGGATTATCATTAAATCACTGAGAGAGAGGATCAACAGAGACCAGCAAGTTCGTGATCTGAAGCGGTGTTCAGTGATAACAAGCTCGTCTACAAATGTGTGAAGTTTGCACAAGATTCAGCAAACACTGATGAGACCTTTCAGCATCATTCCAGTGTTCAATTATCAAATGAATCTTGTCAAACAAGATTGTTTTTATCTTGTCCTGTACACACAAAGGACAAATCATTACCTTTCTAAGTATAGTACAGTACGGAGCCACTCTGTTGACTCTAAACGCACTTACCTACTTTATGAAAGAGGACTGCTCATATACAGCCAAAAGAACTGTATACTGTAGCAAATGACAAATTTTCCTCTTAAAGCTTGTCACGTACCCTGTAGCTTCTGAAGTGCATTTAATGCAATTGATATAAATAGCTGAGTGGTTCTCCTCTCAGTTATCATCTTCCTCACTAAGAACTTACCCAAGAAGTTACTTCTCTCTCTTTACTCTCTGTCTAAAGAGAAAGACCCACTTTAACAAGTGAAGATCACATTTCTTCTTACTTTATTTTCTTGTAGTAGATCTTTTCTTATTGATATCTATAATTTTGTGTGTATCATAGATTGTTTACATAGGTTCTGTATCATATCTCTTTCGTAAACAATCTGTAAAATTTGTATTGATCTTCTTTATCAATATATAATTTTTAAAAGTGAAAGTTATTATGTTTGTATTTATCCCCCCTTCTACAAACTATTACTTATAAACTCTTGTAGATCCGGTTGGGACCAACAATATATATGTTACGTGTGTATATGTGTGTGTATATATAAAAATCCTATGTATATGTGGGTGTATATATGCTCTTTTGAATGTGTGAATATATATATATATATATATATATATATATATATATATGTGTGTGTGTGTGTGTGTATTGTTTATGTATGTATTCATAGATATATGTGAAGTATGTGTGTGTGTATATACATATATATATATATATATATTGAAAGAGATGAGAGAGACAAAGAGGTGGGATAAGGATTAAATTGCCCTTCTAATTAAGTTATTTAACAAAGTTATATAACGGTATTTTGATGTAGGGACCAAGGGTGTGTGAAAATACAAACCACAGGGATATTTTCTATAATTATTTTGAATTAGGGACGCACAATCTAATTTTATGTAAACCACATGAACGAATCATGTAATTTACTCTAATAGATAAGTTATTAGTTTCTTGAAATACTTTACTTGGTTTGTTGTCGGAAAACAAACCACTTCTTGTTCAGGAAAAAAAAACATGACAATTTTAAGAAATAAACAATTGTAGACAAGAAAATTGTTGTGCACGTTTTTTTATTGGCTTTTGTATGATTAATCTAAATATATAAATAATCGAAATAATAATTGCAAAGTAACGTGTTGAAATCTTCGAAAGCAAAAAAGTTAATTCCACTTATAAAGACATGAGAATACACGGTTTCGTTCTTTGTACCTTTATTGTTCTTTGGTTTTGAATATAAAATTGTCTTTCTTATATTTAGAATTATTATAACGTTACTTATATTGTCACAATATTGATACAATCGTTCTCGTTTCTTTAATCGAGCTCACTATTGTGAGTGGAGCCACTTTTACTTTAAAATCATATGCTTTTGGTGTATTTGAACGAGTTATTCATGTTACGATTTGTTTTCTTAATTTAGAAGAGTTTTCAATTAATGTCTTAAAAGATTTCTAATTCGGGGTTTGCTTGTAAAAACCATAATCTTCACTACATATTTTTAATTATAGAGCGATTTTCAACTTTGAGAGCTAGAGTGTAATAGAGGTTGTCTATGAGAACATAATCGAACTTAGACCTTGTCCAATTTCAGGGTTCGACTTCACTCATCTTTGATTCTTATGTAAAGTAATTATATCAACAAAAAATCACTGGCTACCGCCATTGGTTTCCAATATCACGATAGTTGTGTTGGTATTGTTATTATTTTTCCAAATAAATCCAGATAGTTATATCGTGAAAATGGTAATACATATAGTTGACAGGGAAAAACACTTGATGTAATAACAAGGATGTCCTTGGCTTTACAATAAGATTTAAGCACATGGCGTTAGTATCAAAACATAAAGTTAACATGCAGTGATGCATTCACATATATATTAAATCATATAGAACAAGATTTCCCGGAAACATAAACCCTGGAGATGTGGCTTGAGGGATTTCGTCCATGGAACATATAATTACAAAACATTAGGGAACATTTTTTTTTATTAACCTGGATATCCARCCTGCTATGCGAGCCGACTAATCCCAGAGCGACCACCTGTTTTACAGATAGCCCGAAGTCACCGCATTTGAACCTCCGTAGACACAAGGGGATTTTTGTTTCTCTTTGGATTTGAACCTGGGACCTCTTGGTACTTTTGATCTTTGGAGCCAAACTCAAACCAATCAGGCACCACCCTTGTGGTTCATTAGGGGACATTTATTATCCTCACGTAGAAACCTCTATCAAGACGTAAAAGAATCTTACAAGAACTCTAATCACAATAGTGTCAAAAAATTAGGAGTTGTTAATTAACTGTTACCAAATTGAATAATAAGTAATGCATAAGATCATTGACCTTAGAAAATATCGACAAAAACCAAAGTAGAAGCATCATCGTTGGGCTGATGCATTCGAGAATCATGTTGATACCAAGGAAAAACACGATATCAATTGCTGAAATTCTTGACATGGATCAACAACTAACATTGACTCGTGGCGTTCTCCGAGCTATTTGGACAGTACTTATTGTTGTCGAAGCAATTATTTAACTCATTTGTTTTGTAACAACGACAGTTTTGAAGTTGTTAAGTTAAAAGGTTACATTATGCATCAATATATAATTTTATCAACACATTTAACAACAATTGAAAAGCCTAAAATATTAATTAATAATAAAACTATACAAATTAAATTCAATATTATTTATATCTTGTAGTCTTTATCAATAAATAAAATAACTTAAAATTCAAATTACTAAATTAATTTGGATACAAAACCAAGATAAATAATCATGTGAGAAACGTAAAAAAAATAAACCGTTGATTATTTTTAATCTCATTTTCATCCATAAATTATGTTTTAAAAAGAAATTAATTCGATACATCTTGATATACTTTAATAATATTAGTATTGACATTTAATTAAAATTAATATAAAAATAAAAATATTTTCTTATGATTCTCACTCCAACTCTTATTTTATCGAAACCGTACCTACCAAACCAAAACCAATAAAACTTGGCTTCTATATTTTCTAGTACTTTTTCAAAATGTTTTGTCGTCCGTAGTCCTTAAGTAATCCCAAATTCCAATTTTGCCCCTCGCCCCTCTCCTCAAAAACACACACGTGAACACGGTGCCACGCAGATCCCAGTCATGGCGTCTCCACCTTCCACCTCCTCCTCCTCCTCCTTCTTCCCCTTCCTCTTCCTCCTCCTCCTCCACACCGCCGCCGTCGCCAGTAAGCTTCTCCTACATCCCTTTTTACATAAACCGCCGTAACTCCCAGTTTTCTTGGATTAGATTTAACAACTCATAACTAATATCTTTGCTTGATTATGAACATTTGTTGGGGGTTTCTGTATTTCTATCTTGAAACTGTTTAAGAAATTGATTATGGTGTAACAGATTGGTGAAATGATTATGGGGTTTCAAAATATCAGTGATGGTTGTATTAATGGTGCATGTGTGTGTTTGATTTTATAACTCAGGATCGCAATCATATATCGGAGTGAACTACGGCATAGTCGCCGACAACCTTCCACCGCCGTCGGCATCCGCGAAGTTACTACAGTCCACTTCCATCGGGAAGGTGAGGCTGTACGGGTCCGACCCGGCAATCATCAAGGCTCTAGCGAACACCGGCATTGGAATCACAATTGGTGCGGCCAACGGTGATATTCCGGCGATGGCAGCCGACCCAGGGTTTGCAAAAGGCTGGATCAGTTCTAATGTACTACCATACTATCCGGCTAGCAAGATCATCCTCATCAACGTCGGCAACGAGGTGCTGCAATACGGCGACGAGAACACGAAATCGCAACTGTTGCCGGCGATGCAAAATCTCCAAAACGCCCTTGATGGGGCTTCATTGGGAGGCAAAATTAAGGTGTCGACGGTGCACTCGATGACGGTGTTGGGTCAATCAGAGCCGCCGTCGGCCGGAAGCTTCGATCCGGCTATTGGGGATATGTTGAAAGGGTTTTTGGAGTTCAATAAAGCAACTGGTTCACCTTTCATGATCAATCCTTATCCTTTCTTTGCTTACCAGACTGATCCGAGGCCTGAAACCCTAGCATTTTGCCTGTTTCAGCCGAACGCCGGCCGGCCGGATTCCGGCACCAATGTCAAGTACATGAGTATGTTCGATGCTCAAGTAAGTTTAAATTTCATTGCACGGTTAGCATCTTTTTGAATTTCATAAACATGCATCATTGTATGTACGGTACAAGTGGCTTTTGACCAATTTCTTTATTACTTCTTGTTTCAAAAAAGAAAAGGAAAAAAACAAAATTCTGAGTAAATTACAAAAAGCGTCAGTATATTTATCAAAGACGCTGGTTTTAGTCCCTTGATTTTCGAAATTACAGTAATAGCCCTCTGGCTTTCATTGTATTACAGATTTATCCCTAGTCCTGACAAACGTTAGAACCGGGTATTAAATGTCCTTAACGTGTAAGTTACATGAGGGTTTTTTGGTCATTTTACTATATATTTTTTAATAAAAGCCTTTAGAACATATTTGCATTTTAAAAAATAAATCCACCATCGACAAGCCGAGTCCTTGAAGGAGGTATAAGAAGCTAGAACGGGGCTAGGTTCTATTTGTCTTGATGTATGAATTTTGGGTCTGGATTTCATTTTCAGGATGCAGGGACGGTGATGAAGAAGGAGCTGATTTATTTTTTTGTAGATGCTTAACAGAATTTTGCATAGGTTATATATATATATATATATATAATATAAAACATGTAAAATGACCAAAGTCGTCCTAATGTTCATTGGGGTCGCGGATGAAATTTCTAGAATGAAATAGAAACAACAAAATTATCGATGTTCAAAACTTTAGGGATTAAAAGCTGAGGTTTGATAAACTACAAGGATGATTTTTGCAATTTACTCTACTTTTTTATTTTAAAATTTTCAAAGAAAAATAAATCTTTTCTCCTCTTAAATTTACTTAGCAATGATTGCTCTTTTCCTTTAAAAGTTACAACTATCATCTAAAACAAAATGCTAACATTTCTTTTTAAGTACCGTTCGAAAAGGTTCGTCGTAGCAGCCGTCATGGTTCAACTTTTGTGTCTTACGTCACGTTACGTTCGAGGCACGTCATGTCGTAGTGTGCGGTTTTTGTAATTCAATATTTGATTTTACAGATCTTTTCAATGTCTTATTTGTTAGTTTTAATATATAACTTAATCTAAATTGTTTATTATCATTGCTTAATTCAGTAATAGTAGGTGGACGCAATAAGATCTATGCACTAAAAGAGATCATTGATTTATGACATGTAGGTGGACGCAGTAAGATCGGCATTGGATGCCATGGACTTTAAGGAGGTCGAGATTGTGGTCGCTGAGACAGGTTGGGCATACAAAGGTGATCCCACCGAGGTTGGTGCAACTGTAGAGAATGCCAAGGCTTACAATGGCAACTTGATTGCTCATCTTAGGTCTATGGTCGGAACTCCACTGATGCCCGGGAAATCCATTGATACGTATCTATTCGCATTGTATGATGAGGATCTAAAGCAGGGCAAGGGTTCAGAAAAGTATTTCGGGATCTACAAACCTGACTTAACACCAATATACGATCTCGGACTCTCCAAAAATAGTCAGGTATTAATTTCATATATTATTCATTCCGTCCCAAAGTAAGTGTCTACAAAGAAAAAAACATACAATTAATTGAAATGTGTATTTATTACATTTTTTAATTAATTAAATGACAATTTTACCCTTATTAATAGAGATGTAATTAACTTTTTCATCTCGTTATTAAGGATAAAAGGTACTTACTTTTAAAAATGAACATTTATTTTGAGACAAACTAAAATAAAAATATAAATACTTAAATATCTATACTATGTTATAAAGCATTTAACAAAAACTCTTAAAAACCATTTTTTATGCATGCAGTACTGTATATTGATGTAAATAAAAAAATTGAATAAAAAAACTACACAAAAATTAGGAATTTTAAATAGTTAATTTGATACTAATAGCGATATATTTTTGTCAAATTTTTATGAAGTCTTCAAATTTATATTTTATTCAAAAATAAAAAGATCATCACCTTTTCTAAATCACATAAGATTATATTATAACACCGACTGAGACAAAGAATAAAATGAAATATTAAAATCAAGATTTATCTCGCTGCATTGAGTGAGTACCCTTCTACTTATTTATAAATAACAATAGGCAAGAGTATGATTTTATACTAAAATTGGTTTATTTATTGGTTTGATCCACCACTAAATTAGGGTCCTCTTGCTACTGCACCAACGCCCACCATGACCCCACCGGCAGATGCTCCTGCTATCGGTGGTGCAACCACACTTCCGACCAACTCTACGGTGGCTCCTCCCAATTCCACCACACCTCACGACTCTCCTACCGCAAAGGTCAATGCATCGAAAAATGCAGCTAGATTTAACAAAGTCGATCTTCGTTTGGTTGTTGTTTTTCTAGTCATGGCTTCCATGTTGTAGATTCTTTTGATAAATTCCATGATTTTTAGAGTATTGACGACTTGAGTGTGTGCAATTGTTTTTGTTGTGTGTGTAAGATAGAGATCGACAAATGTAAAAGATTCTGGTATTATTTATATATCGGTATGATTATGCGAACACAATGATTTTTTTTTATCGTGACAAATCAGTTGATAAGTTAGCTCATAAACTAATTATATTTTATAAAAATTAGTAGATAAGTTTATGTCATTACAAGATTACTTAACAAGATAACAGTTTTTGGTAATTTATGTAAAATTCAGTGAAATAATCGGATAAAACTGAGAAAGAAGTCTTTAAAACTTGTTGAAATACTACTTGAAGTAACGTTTTTTAAATGGCGAGCTAATATACATGGTTTATGTCTTCTTAAAAAAATCAGCTTATGGTTATCAAATATAACCTTAGTTCATGAGTCTTTTTACATAAATATATTTTGTATATATGTTATTATAACATCGCTCTGAATCAAGATTATAAATGTATGCTCGTTTTATATAAGTTACCGTGACTTGTTTGGTAATTGGCAATCGAGAAAGACAAACAACAAAACAATGATATATCTAGCAAGGGGAGTTCTTGCTCGTTTTTACATGTTCAATTAGTTAGTCATTAACTTTTTGCTTTGGTAGAAAGATCAAGGCATCGGTAATAGAGATGGTACCAGACCGGGGATCGCAATGCTCCCTACAGTGGTGGATCCAGAATTTTTGTCTAGTAGGGGCATCTTTAAGGTAGATTAAAGGTCCATAAAGTCACCCGATGTGTTTTTAGCCTAATTTAACCGTTCGAGGGACATTTTCAGTTTTTTTTTGTTGATTTCAAGGTAATTTTTTGGCTGATGGGGGCATAGACGAGAAATCATCCGAAAGAATTATGGTAGAAAGTTAAAAAAATTATTTTTAACCTTTTAAGTAAAAGAGAAAAATAAAATTATTTTTACAAACTACATCCGCCCCTAGCTCCCCATTCCCCATCATATCATTGGCGAAGCCATGTAGTATCGAGAGGGGCAATGTGCCCCCCTTCAATGATGACCCAATTTTTTCCCCATACATCTATATGGCTCCCTTTCTCATAAGTTGTGTTTTAGTTTTAATTTTTCATTTTAAGAATATATTTTATTTATGTATGTTCGTGGCTACTCGTGTTTCAAAATCCTGGCTCCACCTCTGCTTTGTGTCTCAGTTCCCCGTTGTGGAACAAGATTTCTTTCTATTCCATCCCATATCTATAAGGAACATGGGTTTGTCATTTTCATTATATGGGGAATAATCATTTGAGAACTTTAAAATTTATGACATTGGTGAGAACTTTCACCTTAAAGTTTTGTTTCACATTTTTTTTATATCTAAGTACAGTATTTAATGTATCGATTAATATATGTTTGTTTTACATTGTATATTATATGTATTAGGTTCCCAATGTGAAACTTTTTTACAGGTAACTATATTTAACAAAAACAGACCAAAAAGATCCACATCGTGAACCTTGAAACAAACATGTTGTGAAACAAATATATATTGATTACTACATTAAAGTATAGCCATAAATGAAAATAAAAAATCATATAAAATAACACATGATGCACTAGTTTCTCAGAGATCTTACAATTTAGAAAGTTCTCAAACAAACAGTCCTTCATTATTATATCACACACATATATATACATATACATATACATATATATATATATATATATATATATATAACTTATTATTAAATACTCCGGGTCAGGGTTAAGGGATATCTCATTTTCAGTTAACAAATTTGTGGAGTCCTTGTCCCGGTCAAACCAAATTCGAAAGTCAGGCTTTTCGTCCTGTACAAGTTTTTTTTTTGCCATCCCTAATTTCTAACCTTCTTTTTTATTGATAAGACATGGGTCCCAAGTAGTGTAGGGTGCTTTAGCATATACACAATTGACTTAATTGCCTTTATCTAGGATTTTTAAAATAAAGAAAATTACATCCAAATGATACCAAGTTTCACCTTATTTCTATTTTGAGGAATTAGCTTTTAAAATCATCATTGATACTAAGTTTCACCTTATTTCTATTTTGAGGAATTAGCTTTTAAAATCATCATTTAAAGGCTTGGAATAAAGTTTACGTATATTTAAGTTTATAGGTGACCTATTGAGTTGCTACTGATGACTTAGCGCAAGTAGTTTGCCAACTAAAGTTCTACATCACAATTAGATTTGCATAAGTAAATTTAAGATGATGACATATCACATAAAAGTACTTCTAGATTGTATGCTATCTTTTTTATTTTACTTTATTTAAATACAAACACTTGTTAGATTGTAAAATAATATAGCAAAGTTTCAACCCAACCAACTTGCACGATTTGGGTTGGGTTGGGTTGTAGTTTTCCTTGGGTCGGGTTGGGTTGGGATTTTTTCAAACTGCAAACATTGGGTCAACTTGTTCAAATGCTTTTAACCCGACCAATCCAACCCATGTGTAGCCTTACCAAGGAGATTTTTCTATGTACCAGACGACATAAAGCCCACATCCAGCCCCTTCTTCTCCAGCGACCATCCCCATACCCCCACCTTATTCTCCGGAGAACATCCCCACACCCCCACCTTATTATCTGGCATCTCTTTTTCTCCTCCATTATGCATACCACCACGACACTACTTGCACCATACACAACGACGTGCTCCAGATTGAAGAATTCCAAACCGTTACAAGGTTCGATTCAATGGTTTCCAAATGTTTTCACCTCAAAGATTTCAAATTTTAGATTTGGGTTCCAAACGATTTCACCTCAGATTTTAGATCTGGGTTTTGAAGGGTTCCACCTCAAACTTTTTAGATTTAGATATGGATTCCAAACGGTTTCACCTTAAACGATTACAGATCGGAGATCATATGACGGACAATAATTGTTGGTCGAAGAAGACGACACTTGGTAGTTGTTGGCCGGAGAAGACGACATATGGTGGGGTTGTGGTTTAGGAAGATCTCTGAAGCCATATGAAATCAAGAGATCTTCGAAGTAATAGATCTGGAAGAGATGAAGTGAAGAGGTGGTACTTAGTTTTCTATTTACTAAGTCTTGTGCTTCCCTTGAGACTTGGTCTACGAATAATTAGCCAGTAGAATATGTCTTATTCAGTTTTGATCTTTTCCTTCTTTTTAGCAGCTTTTTGTTTACTGTAGTGGCTATTTAAAGTCTTGTTAATCTTTCAATAAACTATCAAAGCATTCATGTGTAATCTTTACTTTTATTTTGATTTCTCTGTGTATAACAATTGGCATCAGAGCCATTAAGAGAGGGCCTGGTGTGAGAGTGAAGAAAAATAAAAAACAAGAGTGAACGAGAGCAAACACGAGTGAAACGAGAGATGTCGAATGAAGGACAAACTTGCTGAGCATTCCAAAATTTGACGGGGACTACAATCACTGGAGTATGCTAATGGAGAATCTACTTCGATCAAAAGAGTGGTGGCATCTCATTGATCCAGGTTATAAAGAACCAATAGCGAGATCCAAAGAGACAGAGGCAGAGAAGACGACATGAGCAGATTTGAAGATCAAGGATCTCAAGGTTAAAAATTACTTATTTGCAGCCATTGACAAATGTATTTTGAAGACTGTACTCCAAAAAGAAACATCTCGGGACCTTTGGGAGTCAATGCGGAAGAAATACCAAGGGAGTCAAAAGGTTCAAAGATCACAGTTGCAGGCACTTCGAAGGGAATTTGAAGTTCTGGAGATGAAAGAGAGTGAGACGATTACGAACTACTTTGGTCGCGTAATGTGTGTTGCGAACAATATGCGTAATAATGGAGAAATTTTGGAAGACAATTTGATTGTTGAAAAAAATACTACGCACTCTCACCGAGAGATTCAACTACATCATAGTATCCATCGAAGAGGCAAAGGATATAGACCGTCTAAGCATGGATGAGCTCTAGAGTTCCTCAATCATGCATGAACAGAAATTTTGAAGGAAAGTAAAAGAGGAAGAACACGTATTAAAGGTAACAAATGAAGAAAGAAGCTTTAGAAGTTGAGGACCAGGTCGATTTGGAAGCAACCAAGGCATAGGACGAGGGAGGCAGATGATGAATAAAGCAGTGATTATGTGTTATCACTGTCACAAATTAGGACACTTCCAGTACGAGTTTGATAATTATAATGAAATTCTATTGGCGGCTTACATGGAAGATAAGGCAATGAGAAGTGAAGTATGGATCCTAGATTTGGGATGCAGTAACCACATGAGCGGTAATCAAGAATGGTTCTCATATCTAGACGAAGACTTCAAGCACACTGTGAAGTTGGGGAAGGATAGTCGCATTGTTATGGTAGGAAAAGGAATCGTACGAATGAAGGTGAATGAGATGACTCAGGTAATTTCGAACGTATATTATATACCTGAACTAAAAAGTAATCTGTTGAGCGTTGGACAGCTGCAAGAGAAGGTCTTGGCGGTGCTAATTAAGGATGGAACTTGCAAAGTCTATGTAACACCCGCGTCCCGCGTGGTCAAAGACGGGAGATGCCACAATTAGGATAAAAAAACGCACTATATAAAACAGAGCAGCTAATAAAATTTACCAAAAGATAATTACATAACCATAGACGAAGATAACGTGTCTCAAAATACGGTTTCAAAATACTAGTATGTCTACATTAGTCATCAAAAGTTTAACAAAAGTATGACTTAATGGGTTATCTTCAATATTGTCAACTCCATAGCTCTCATCCCAAAATCCCTGCAAAGTCATGTACCTGCCAAGGACAAGAAAATCTCGGATGAGCTTAATGCTCAGTGAACGGATAATAATAATTAAACAATGAATATGAGATAACAAGTTCAAAAGCAATTTATAAAGCCAAGTAATAATTCAAAAGAAAGTCAAAATGCCCCAAAAACATATCAAGGGTCCGAAGACCAAATCGCATCACGAGGACGCATTGTTCCCAAAGGATGATCAGTCCATTCAGGCACAAGTGAGGAAAGGGGTGTGAGCACAACACAGCAATCCTCTCTGTGAATTTAACCACGGCCAAAATTCATTATCCGATAACGGTTCTTAGGATCGATCCATACGCCCTCTATTCGACCAGTACATAATCAAGTCCACTTTTAAGAACTAT